TTAGAAAAGCGGCGATGCGATCAATGACTGATTCTGATGGATCGGCGGGTGGGTCAGGGTACGCTGCACGATGTATCGAACCGGAAGGCAGCTGGATCTCCTGTGGGAGGGGACCCAGCATCAATCGGATCTCAGTGGTTAGGATGTTGTAAACTTCTTCGTGTGCACAAGACGCAGGTAACTCATTCGCAATGATGCGTTTGATGTTAACGTGTTGGAGCCAGTCGGCAAACATCTGAGTGCGGTGGCTCTCTGCGGTGAGCATGACGGCTGCCGCGTGCGCAGCGGAATTGACGCGGAGCATCTGTCGGAGAAGGTGGGCGAACAGTGTAGCAGGTTCAAGTTTTGCCTCGAGTACATGTACGGGGAGGGACGCGAACTTGGCAGTAATGTGTGCGTGCAACGTCTTCGCAACGTTGTCGAGGAATTTCAGAACTGGCGGCGGCGCCACTTGGAGAGTCAGCTGAGAGACATTGCGGATCATCTTCTGGTACATCATCCAGTCGCACTCCTTGATCCACGGCGCCAGTTCGGGCGAAGCAAAGAGCTTCTGCACCGGTACAGTCAATGTCCCATGGAAAGTACCAAAGAGGCGGAAGAATTGCTTCTCCTTGCAGTAGCGCACTGAGTCCACCAACGAGACAACATGCGATCGGTACATAGCAACAAGGTTGTCGGCAGAATCGGGATCGGTGCGTGCTGGTAAGTATGGTTTGATATCCGGCAACTCCACCACGAATGCATCAGGGGCTTCGAGGATGTCTGCTGTTGGGAATTTGAGCTCGTGCTCGTACGAAATTTTGGTACGTGTATGCGAAGGGTGGAACTGAGACGAGTAGATGTCGGTAAATAGAACGCCGCGCGATGAGGCCGGAGTGTAATAGCTACTCTGTGACTCCACACGTGCTTCTCGTGGAGGAAACTGTGCGCTGTCCGCAGGTAGTCGTGGGATGGCACTAGAGGTTGTTAGCATATACACGGACATGGTACATTGAATGGACGTACTCCATATTGAGTCTCGGTGTCCCTGAAGCCTGACGCTTCAAGGCATGGTGCGCAGCAGGACCGTTGCTGCCCCGACGTGCCTCTTCACCGTTATCGTTGTCGTTGATGAGCTCAAGATCGACGTAGTGGTACTTGGACTCTCCGCGAACACCGAGGCGCCTAGTCTGAATACCAGGGAAAATGACGCGAACGAGCTTGCCAAAAGACGCCGGATTCAGGGGGATAACGCGATCAGTACCGCAGCGCTCTGCGTACTTGGAGTAGACGCGGTTGCGTGGGACCGATGTCTTCGCGACACGACAGACGGACTGTAACCTGGGAAGCGTTAGCACATTTCCAAGATGGACGCGTAATACCTACCATAACATGGCGAATAGCTGTTTAGACTTTTCTGCCTTGGATGTTCGATCATTTTGGATAACCTCAGCTGCAACCTCCTTCAGGTTACGGCCTTCATTCTGGTTCAACAGCTGGCGCAATTCCTTGTCATTGGTAGCTGCGCCTGAGGTTGACGGCCTCTTCTTCTTGTCTTCGGTATCCATCGGTGGCGCCATGAAGCTGTGTTGCTGTGAATGCTGTGAATGTTGGGAGAGGGAATTCTGGTAGGCGTGGTGGTCTGGCTGGGCGGGCTGGGCGCTCGATTGGGGGTGGCTCGCGGTCGGGTCGGCTGGATAGCCAAGGTACTGCTGGACACTCTCCAAACTCATGTTGATAAGCTGGTCCTGCGCGCTGACTTGTTGTGCAGCCTGAAGCAGAGCAGGCTGTAGTGCTTCACTGGTCGTGAATGGAGCATGGTACTGTGGTTGTTGGGGAAATTGGCTGGGCCGCGGCTGTTGTGGTTGCTGGAATTGCTCGAATGAATGTACGCTCGTCGTCGACGCGCGAGAAAGAGGGCGATTACTTCTAGTAGACATTGACGTATTTGATCGTGATCGGCGGATGTCGGTCATGATGCGGATGCCGGCTGGCAGATTTTCCGTCTGTTTACACCAAAACAATGCGATAGCAACGGCGCGGAGATGGCGACAACACAGGCGAGAGAGTGTACAGAACAAGCGACGAGAACTCTAGGGATACCAAGGTGTAAGGAGTATATTGGCGAAGCTGCTCGCGCGTAGGTCGAATCTCAGCTTGTTTTCGGGGTTGGCGGGTTTGTTTGTTTGGGCCAGGGACTAGCTCAACACGTTGTCCTGTCGGCTAAGATGTCACCAACGTGGTAGGATGCTCCGGGGAAGAATATCCGGCTCCAAAAGATGTCGTCGGCGTCGTCGGTCGCCCTCGAGCGGGTTTGTTATGGGATAAGATTTGGATGTTTACGCTTTCGTCTGAACTCGGTCGCACCTGCAGCAACGGAGACTGGCCGGCGCGCTTGGACCATGATAGTCACATGACTATCGTCATAACGCCCGTGCAATCGCACTACTTTCTAATTGCCAATGTAAGAGAAAAAGAGATGAGTGAATGCAATATCGTCGCCATCTGGGATCTGGCCTCGTCGCAACACAAGACGATGCTCGCGATTCTGTCGCATCGGCATGCAACTGCAGCGCTCTGGCTGGCTCGTGAAAGGCGGTGACGTATTTAGCGATGACGAGCCCACTTCCTCCATCCCACAATCTCCAGGCTCCACGTTCCTGCTCCTCCCAACCTACTGAACACATTGCAGCCCCTCTGCTTCTTCCACCATAATCCATTGCATCTCAACCCTTTGCAACCCACCACACTCGACCCCCAAACAGCCCTCAACATGTCTGTCCAGGATAGAGCCCAGGCCCAGCTGTCGCAGCTCGACAAGGAGGTAAGCGCTCTCGCTTCCGCACATGGCACAATTGTCAAAATACGACTTGTATAGGTGTTTTTGATGAGAAGTCGCAATCGCAATAGTGTTTGTACAAAACCACGTATACTGACCATGTTGTGTTCCAGCTGTCCAAGTACCCCGCACTCAACAACTTTGAGAAGCAAACGTCGGTTCCCAAGGTCTACATGGTCCTCGGTCTAGCCGGCCTTTACTTCTTCCTCATCTTCTTCAACATTGCTGGAGAATTCCTCGTCAACATTGCCGGATTCATCATTCCCGGTTACTACTCGCTCGAGGCTCTATTCAGCGCAAGCAAGGTTGATGACACTCAGTGGTTGACCGTACGTATACCCCACTTTCTTATCGCTGGCAAGACATTTGGCCATACTGTGACCATTTCAAGCTCCACAACAAGGCTAACGTGATATTACAGTACTGGGTGACCTTTGCGTTCCTGACCGTTTTCGAGAGCGCTGTAAGCGCTGTTTACTGGTTCCGTAAGTCCACCAGGATTAGTGTACACGATTTACGTCTGACCTTGCCAGCCTTCTACTACACCTTCAAGTTTGTCCTGATCCTCTGGATGGCCCTCCCCCAGACTTCGTAAGTGTCTCTCGTGGCGCTTATGATGTAAGCTAACAATCTGCAGTGGTGCTCAGATGGTCTTCCGCTCTTTCCTCCAGCCCGTCTTCTCTCGCTACTTCTCCGCATCAGGCTCCACCGCCGCCGACCTTCGCGCCAAGGCCGACTCAGCTGGCAAGCCTCATGCCTCGTAGAGCAGTTGCGAGCTTAACACCTCTTTGACAGCCGCACGACGACATCATAATAACAAAAACGAAGTTCGGAATACGCCCTCTGCTGTGCGGGAGACGGAAAGACCGGGCTTTTCAAAGCGTGCGGCTGTTGCGGCTTGGAAACGCTGCATGGACGAAGGCTTACGAGTAACGGATCATGTTCATGACAGTGTCGATGTACGAAAGAAGAGGCAGGTATCCTTACGTTTCATGATTACTTGCCCATAAGGAAGCGGATTGGGTAACATACTGCGCTCCTTGGCAGTGGGTTTCTGCGAATCGCTTGCGAGCAATATCATGTATCCGAGTCTGGCTTGTTCTCTGACAAGCATCAATCACATATTCATCCCCTTACACCGTTGAACACATAGGCGTACACAATATGCGAACTGAAACATGAATACTAACTTATCTAGCGAGACATTGACTGCATTGGAAGATGGGAAGTATGTCACACGACGTGAATGGGGAGATGAGAACAACGTTGTAAAAGGCTCGAAACTTATGATTCTTGTTACATCTGGACTTGGTAAGTGAACGAACAATTAGTTGTTTCTGTAAATCGTCTCAAAAAATTTATGTTTATGACATCCTGTTGCTTCCACACAAACATTAGCAAATCACAACGACAATATGTGCAATAGTCTCAAGAACTCTGTGCTCTTGTTTCTTTGTTTCGTGTTACTCCATCCCTGATCTTTAATTGCTCAGGCTAGGTCGTCTATTCCGACCGGCCTTCTGAACTTCTTCACTCCATACATATCATTCATTTATTCAATAACTAGTAATGTTTGATACTTACACTAAACCCAAAAGCAGATCTTTCGAACGTGCCGGTGGCTTGATGTTGCAGTAAATCTAGTAAATCTCCGTACTCAAGCACAGTCTCCAAAGACATAAAGCACGCTTGAACAGTTCTAGCACAGCAGAAGCCACGTAGCAGTATTGTAAAGATCATCAAACCCTCTTTACCAAACTCAGTCCAATGCCACTCTACTCTATCGACAGTGCCTACAAACATCATTACAGCAGGATGCAAGCCACTTATGTTTGCTTGTTGAGAAATCAGGCCTACATTCTGATCAAGCCCTAATTATGGGGCGAAGCCTGGAGGTGATCTAGCGGACGTCAACGTCGTGGCATGGTTATTCAATCGGCGAAGACAGATTGAGCTGCTGACTATCGATACGCGGAATGAGTGGAGATTGCAGTGACAAGCCAGGGCCCCTTGCATGTGCTACGTCAACCTCGAGGCGTTGATCATTGGGAACAGTGAAATCATGGTTCAATTCCTTTGCTTGTCCTTATACAACCAAATCAATGCCGCAAAAACGATGATTCTGACGCCGCAGAGAATTACCACACACGATACACGAAAACGTGTCGTCTCCGCCAACCTCTTATACGGTACCCGCAATGCTCAAGTCCCGGATCTCTTGTAGCACCTCTTCCACCCGTGCGTCCAGCTCACCCTGTGCATACTGATCTCTTGTGTTTGCATCCAGATATTGCTGTACCTGCGCCATTCTTGAGTATGCTTCCGCGCAGAACCTCAACTGAATCTTGACCAGCGCCTCGAAACTTGGGTCTAAGTAGGGCACTCGCAGATCGATAAGTTGGGGAAGTTCGGTGGTGAGGGTATCGTTGAGCTGGTCGTACGCGGCCTTGGCCAATTGTTCGTCCTTTTCAGCGCGCGGTAGCTTGGTGACATCCTTGTCAGGCTTGTCGGTGAGCTTTCGGACTTGTGCACGCATGCGGTCGTAGTCCATTTGCTTGTGTTCGCGCTTTGTGATACAGGCGTTGATGTCGGGGAAGTAGGAGCAGAATCGCTGAATGGGGTCTAGGACGGTGGTTCGGTAAGGGCCGTCGAGGGCTTTGATTGTCTCGGCGTCTAGATCGGTCACGGCTTGCTTGTAAGAGCGCGACACGCCGTCTTTTGTTCCTGCATCTCCATAGAAGGCGTCGATGGTTTCAGCGATGCGCATTTGTGAGGCGGTCATGGCGCGCAGAGAGTCCAAGTAGCCCTTTGCTTCCTTCTGAAGCTTGTTCGCGGCGGTCTCCATGGTGCGGTAACGGCTGGCATGTCGTTAGTGTTGTTCATGTTCATGTGGCATGTATTCTTCCTGGCAGGGAGAAGACGGGTTGCGGGTGAAGAAGCGTACCGCTGCTCAGTTTCGAAGTCGCGGTCATTTGTGCGCTCGACTTGGCCAGTCTTCATAAGAACCTGCGTCGTCGCGCGATTGACGCCTTTCTTGAACCCTGCGTCTTGTAAGCCGGCGGCTTCCTAGATCATCGTCGAGGGGCTCCTTACCGGTCCAAGACATGATTGCGGTGTGGTCGCTCTGGTGTGGGGGGAGAAACGATGTATAGCGGGGTGTGCACGAAGCAGGGTCGTGAGTGGGAAGTCGTGGTGTTGTGGGGAGAGCCGCGGGAATCAATGGAGATGGAGTTGCTGGTTGGGCGCGGTCGAGTCGTTGTTGGCGGGCGGCAGTGCCACAATGACGACGCTACAAGACCCCGGCCGCGCTTTCTGGTGGCTGAGCAACAACGATTCCGATTCTGACCCAACCGTCCAACTTCAATGTTTTCACTTCGACCGCTGCAGCGTGCAGCGCCCTCGCCTTTCCGTATATGCTCGACTTGTCTGCGCAAGTACTCCGTCACTCCACCACGGCGACATGATGCCAGTGACAGACAGAAGAAGGTGATATTCTCCGGAATCCAGCCCACCGGAGTACCACATCTAGGAAACTATCTCGGCGCACTGCGACAGTGGGTGAGGCTTCAAGATGAAGCATCTCCGGACACCACACTTCTGTTCTCCATAGTCGATCTGCACGCCGTCACGATAAAACAGGACCCCAGTGAATTGGCAAGATGGCGAAAAGAGATGCTGGCTAGTCTGCTAGCAGTGGGACTCGATCCTAAGAGATGCATCATATTTGCGCAAAGCAGCGTGAAGCAGCATGCCGAACTCATGTGGATTCTCAGCTGTGGTGCAAGCATGGGCTACCTGGGACGGATGACCCAGTGGAAGGTATGCGACAGCAGAAAACAGGCTTGGAGAGGCGTAATATTAATACCGTCTTTAGAGCAAACTCTCCCTCCCAGCTAATGCCTCCCCACTCGACCCCTCAAACAACAAAGACGCCCTGAAACTTGGTCTTTTCTCTTATCCCGTCCTCCAAGCCGCTGATATCCTCCTCTACAACACCACCCATGTCCCAGTCGGCGAAGACCAAGCCCAGCACCTAGAGTTCACGCGGGAGCTAGCTGTTGGATTCAATCACGTTTACTCAGAGTCACGACCTCTGTTGACCGTTCCGCAAACCCTTCTCAGTCCTGCCAAACGAGTCATGAGCTTGACTGAACCAACAAAAAAGATGAGCAAGAGCGATCCGAAGCCAAAGAGTCGCATCATGATAACAGACTCAAAAGAGAAAATACACGCAAAGCTGAAGACAGCATTGACAGACTCAATTGAAGGAGTCAGCTATGATCGTGAAAGCAGACCTGGTGTGTCAAATCTGATAGATCTTATGTATCATTTTGATGACTCTCTCGCTGCATCACCCGAAGACCTGGCAAATGACTTGAAGGATCTGAGTATGCGGGCGCTGAAAGAAAAGGTCGCTGATACCGTTGACATGGGCATCAGCGATATAAGGCAACGATATCATGGATTGATGAGCGGAGATCAGAAGGAACTAGTGCAGTGTGCGGAAGAAGGCGCGCGAAAAGCAGAGGAAATTGCCGAAAGCACCATGCAGAGGGTGAGAAAAGCTATGGGCATGGCATGGTAGCACACTCATGAACGTAGTTACGCTATGTCCTCATTGCACGCTAATAAGTTATACCATCTGTCGGTCCATTTAGACCTAGACACCACCCCTGTCTTACGTTCACATCAAGTACCAGGCGTGACATCTAGAGTTCTAGTAAATCTTGAGTTCTGATGCCGGCCAAATCGTCAGAGCTGGCCAACTGGTTGAAGGAGAACCCAGTAGCCGCGCCCCTAGGCCCTGTACTTCTGAAGAAATGTTGGAAAGTAAGGGATATGGTCGGAGGAGTTGGTTCATAGAGGATTGTTGCATGGCGCATGTATATCATGAGTCTTGACACGTCGTCCTTGTTGGCCTAGAATTGTAATCCATGCATTTCAAAGTCTACGTCCATTCACATGCAGCCCCTGCGCCGCAAGTCGCAAACCTAAAGTAGTCATGCCTCGTGTAATAGAAAAATGACCTGAGAACTCCCTTCCCATGCAATGCAAATGCCATTGTAATAGTGACGAAGCCGTAGGCAGAAAAGCCCGTCGCAAGTATAAAACCATCAATCCAATACCAGAACCGAACGCCGCGCTTACAATGAAGATGTGGAAGAAAACCGAGGAATCGAAAGATGGAGAAGGTGGTGTGAGGCTGATGCGGATGAACTAATGCGCATACGTCCACCATGTCGTGTAACTGGGGTGTGGGTTCGGGCCAGAGGATGCCGATGCAGACACGATAGTGCCATAGTCAGGACCCGAATGCTCGGATAAGAGTGCCCCACCCCTTAGTGACCCCTTCATGCGGGCCAGAGACGCGCACATGATGAGGGGTTCGGATTTGCAGTCCATGGGCAACGTCTAGCGCTTCATGGGGGTGTCTGCGTCCTCTTCTTCCGCATCGTCGTCATCAGCCTCGAAGTCGGAGTCCATTTCTTGGTCCTCGTCCAGGTCGCTCTCGCTGCCGCCAAAGTCCAAGCTCTCGGCGTCGCTGTCTTCCCAGCTCATGTCGAATTGGCCCTCATCCTTCTCTTGCTTCCATGCTGTTTCTTGGGTTGGCATGACAAAGTCCTTGGGAATATCCGCCTTTGAGAGCTCGAGATCCTTCTTCACCATCTCCTTGTACTCCGCAGGCTTGTTACGCAACATGACCCCAGCATCGACGTTGGCGGGAGAGGAAACCTCAGCATCGTCCAGTAGGGAGAGGATAGATATCAGGACCGTCTCGACACGCTGTACGGGTGACCAACGCTCGGCAGCAGTCTCGCCGGACATCTCGTCATCGCCGGGAGCGTGGAGGATGGAGATACATAGCCGTCCATCGGGGTAGATGTTTGGGTGGTAGAGCGGGCGGATGAATTTGAAATCTGATCAGCCGTTAGTTTCTTCCCTGCGCTTCGCGACTCTTTCCATCCCTGGAACGTCGTATTGGTAGTGACGTACCTGGCGGGCTATGCGGGTAGTTGCGCGGGAAAGACATCTTAGCCTTGAAGTAGCCGCCATAGTACATGGACTCTTCGTTCATGACGATGAGGGCGACACTCCACTCGAAGACATTCTCGTTGATGAGCTGTGACGTGGTTAGCTCGGTGCTCCTGCATCGCCACTCTGACTCTGACTCTCGACGGAATGTCACCGGGACTTACTTCGATATTAGTCCACTTCTCCTTGCTCAGCTGCTTGAACTCATTCATGAGTATCCGCTGCGCCGTTTCCGCCATTTCGCTTTGTCGGTCGGGGGTTCTCGCTGAAGTGTGTGGTGTTGGTGGTGTTGCAGGAACAGTACAGTATCGGCGGAGGCAATCGGTCGAGTTGATTTATACGAGTAAAAGAGAGAATCTGGTGTGCAGGGAGCGTCTTGGCGAAATGTGTGAGGAGTGAGAGAGAGGCGGGAGGGTGAGAGTTTGTACTTAAGGGAGTCGGTCGGCTGAGGCGCTGCATGATCGAATGCTCTCGCCGAAGCAAGGATCACTTAGTCCGCCCCTCGGAAAGAGCCTAAGTCACCGCTTCCGAACTTGCGGACAACGAGTGGAACCTTGGCCGTGGTACTCACTCATTGTCTGCAGCGATTCACCGTCACCATGTCCCTTTGTTCGTCGGCAGAGTTGCTGTTAAAGCACCAAAGGTTGGTGGGCGTTCTGTCTTTGGCAACCTCGCCATCGTTGCTTCCGACCTCGGAACGAATAGGAACAGTACGGAACGTCACCGGCGATGCGTTCCAAGGTCGCTTTGCTCGCGTGATAGCGAAGAGATATGGCTTATCTATCATCACCCGCATCGTCACCCATGGACATATCCTGGAGTGTCATGTGAGTGTGCCCATGCAACCCTTTGCCTTAATATAGGCTACTGATGTTGCACTATTTCACAAATATAAACGTGCACACAGTCGACCTGAAACAGCAATGTGCAGTAGTCTTTTGCTAGGTCTATCGGTAGAAACCAATCGCTTCGACCAACATCTACGTGGCTCACCATGCCGGTGCGCGAGTGTCGTCATTCCAGGCTTGCTTGTTTCTTACACGACTCTAGGTCTGCATATTCTCACGTTTTTGACATTGTTTTTGCATCTAATGGTAATCGTGACTAATGGCAAACAACCAGGCATGTAGTGGTCTTGCGTTTAACAACAATACTTTTCTATTCTAGAGTGTACATCTAAAACCGACGTGATCGTGTATGACATGACCCAGGATTACGACAACCCCCCAGTACACCAGCGCTGGCGTTAATACATGTGCTAAACGAAAAACCGATAATACTAAACATAAGAAAGACAAACAATGAAAGCATAGTCAGGACGATAAAACAAAAAAAAATTCAATCAGATGTAACGCATCTTCTTCGCAACTCCCAAGCAGACCGAAACAAAGAGGCAGATGACACCGATAATGCCAAAGAACCACGCAAGGCTGCCGTCCTGACCCGGAACCTTGACGTTCATACCAAAGAGACCGCAGATTAAGTTGAGCGGAACAAGGATTGTGGCAATGACCGTAACCTTCTGAAGTGTAGCGTTACTGTCATTTCCTTGGATGACTTGGTCAACGGAGATTTGCGCGAGGTAGTTGGAGTGCGCGCGGCTGAGCATCTTCTCGAAGTGAGCCAAGTTGGACATCATAGTGACGACGTGGTCCTGGATATCGCTGAGGTACATGCCCACGTCACCCCGAGGAGCAACGCTGTACGACTCGTTGCAACGTTTGGCGAAGCCCTTGATGACATCTGCCTTGCCACCCAAGAGACGCAGGAGCTGCATGACACGCTTGCGGCAGTCGCCAATCGATCGAAGAATGGCGCGTGAGTCTTCAATGCGTGCAGTGAAGACTTGGTCCTCAATTGCATCAGCTTCATCTTCGATGCCTCGAATGACAGGTGCAAAGCTATCGACAATGTCGTCAATAAGGGCGTAGCAGATCCAGTCGGCATTCAAATTGATGTAGTCGCGAAGACGGCTGATACGCTTGCGCACGTTGAGCGTGTGCGGGCTTTCGCAGAAGGTGAATGTCAGGATACCCTCCTTGAAGACGACAGCATAGAAGTTAACGGGCTCCAGATATTCCTCCGACTCCTTGTCGGCTTGGAAGAAAGAGCGGAACGAGACAAAGTAGTATTGGTGAAACAGCTCTACCTTCTCACGCGGCTCTTGAATGCAAATATCCTCGCGAGTGAGAGGATGCACTCCGAAAGCCTTGGAAATGGCAAACACTTCCTCTTCTGTGGGGTTGACCATATCGAGCCACCAGACGCCGCCGTCTGATGGTGTGTCAAACAGATCACGGAAGCGTTCGCCAGGCATAAGTAGTCCGCCCAGTTCGGCAGCATGAATCGTGTCGTCCAATTCGGACGAGAAGAACGTCCAGCGGTTCGTCTTTACTTCCGGAGTTTGCTTCTCTGCGAAAACGTGGGAGAGACCTTCTTCGGCAAGCTTCTCTTGAACCGCAGGGTCTGCATTCTTCAGACTCAAGACGTCGCTGTCGGTCTTGGGTGTTCCTGACTGGCTTGACTTGGGGCGAAGGTCGGAGAAGACCTTGGGCTTTGCAGAAAGATTAGACGCTGCGCTCGCTTTGTGACGGAGAGGCTGGCCAATAGGTGTCTTGTCGTGAGCCTCTGCAACAAATTCCTCCAGCTCTTCGTAGTCGAATCTGGTAGTCTTGCCTGTATCCTCGGATACAGGGAAGCAGACATCTTCTTGTGCTGAACTGTGCGCAGACGCGACTTCGATGTCGTTTGGCAGATCAGGGCGCTCGTCGCTAAGGGTTGGTCGGCGCGCGGTGCCACGAGAAAGCGTCCGGTTCAATCCAAGCTCAAGCTCGGAACCTGCGTGGCTCTGGAGAGTGTTGGCACGGTCGCGGCGCCGAGGACCAGCGAATGCGTCGACAGAGTTGGGAGGAGAGACGGACCGCGAAGTCGTCGAAGAAGCCCTGCTCCTAGTCAGGCGCTCGATTGCCGGGTCGCGCGGACGCCTGAATGTCTCTCGACGGGCTTGAGGGCTGTGTGCTAGAGAGCCGCGGCGAATGTAGGCGTCGGGAGCCAAGTGTTGGTCGTCATCGACTACGGCGCTTTCGAAATCGCGTCGAGTAATGTCTGCCTCAAGGGCTTCGTTGACTTGAAGAAGTATGTTGGGTCGGTCTTGGCCCTGGACGCTTGCGAAAGTTGGTCGGCGCGAGCGAGGAGGCGACGAAGCATCGGCTCGTGGAAGAGATGCAGGCTGGTGGCGGTGGTCGTCGAGGTCAGACACCGGGGTGCTGAACCTCGTCTGGGTCTCGGATCTCGGAGTGTCAGTCATATTGGCGACTCAGGCGGCGATGAGCTTGACTCCGAATCAGATGTCGTGTGCTTTGGTTAAGCCAGATTGGTGATGTGTTGGGCGACTTCTTGCAGCGCAAGAACCACAGAAGCGGGCGAGTCGCTTGTGAGCGCTCACCTCTAAGGCGCGCTCAACTTGACGATGGCTTCGCGTAGGGTCGTCCCCTACACTAAGCCGATGGAAGACAGAGTCCGGTAGCCAGACTTCCACACCCTCTGTGGGAATAGGAAGAGTTGTAAAGACGGTGATGCAGTAGCGAATGTGTAGTGTTTGTCGTTAGACCCAGTTATGGTGGCTTGTGGTCGCCTCCGTATACCCAGGCTTTTGTGCCGAGCAAGGGGCGGATGAAGGAAAGCTTGTCGAGGTAGAGTCCCGCCAACTTGGTGGTTTGTATGGATATGGACGCCGTAGCGTCAGAAGGTGCGGTGTAAGGGGATGATTGCAAAAACAAAGACCCCTTGAGCGATCAGTCGCGGTGGTGGATGGCGGTCCACGGGGATAAGTGCCGGACAGATGGAGGGTGCGCGATTGCGACTGCTGATGGTCTGTATCGTGAGGCGGTTGAAAGTCGATGGGAGGTGCAGTGGGTGGGAGTCCAGGCGGACGGTGGGAATGTTGTTTGAGGGACGGTGCGGGACTCAAATACGGGCGGTTGAGCGATGGGTCAAGGAAAAAGCTTGTGCAGACGGAGCCTACTGGCCCAAGCTGATTGGGCAGAAGCGCTCCCAGACGTGCATGTGACGCGTCCAGAACTCAGCCGTTGTGGGGAGTTCGCGAGTGAAACTGCTGCCGTAAATTCCGCGGCCTAATTATTCTTGGTTCTTGCCCTTCGTGCTGGGAACCAGGTACCACATCGTCGCTGCGTCAGTCTTGGGCGTGAATCCATGAGGCGTTCTTAGTAAGGTTTAGTGCGGCTACGGACCCCTGCGTTCCCAGGTTGCCTGTGTGGCTCGTGAACATGCCACCTCTCCAAGACAGTTAGGCCGGACTCTGCGTAACAGACAGTCCCCAGTAATAGCCGGTACCTGCACTGCACTCGCCCTGGGTCGCAACACCACGGACACATATCCCAAACCAGCATATCCAACCAGCATGGCAGACCAGTTATTAGAGCAAGCGCGCGACGCGTTCGAGGGCCAGATTGTACGCGGCAGCAACGCTACTGCGTTACTATACACATTGGCTAACACGAACAGGACTTCGAGGGCCAGAGGCTTGCAGAGATGCTGAGTACCGTTCTGCTCGGAGCGGCTGGTGTATGGCATCCCTCTATCTAAGACGCGGTTCAAGAGGCTAACTGGTGTAGATCATTGCATTCATCGTTGGCTTCCTGCAGCAGGACATTCGACTAGCACTCTACATTGGCCTCGCCGGCTCCGCCCTCACATTCCTCGTTGTCGTACCCCCGTGGCCGTTCTACAACAAGAACCCCGAAGACTGGCTCCCACCGTACAACTCAACGCCACAGTACAACATCGACGTGGACGGGCAGAAAATCGGATAGCTGGCTGGTCGCATGTAGCAAGAGAAGGAGGAAATGCATGCTCAGAACACAATTCATGATCGTAATGGAATCTGATTCGATGATGATGACCGCCTATGCTGCTACTTGGTGCTCTCATAGCCCTTTTGTGAAGGCCCTACTAACGCCGGACGACCGAATGAAACCAAGACCCATGTTTGTTCCTGTTGAAACCCATCTCTCTACAGCTTTCGCCAGCGCTTATCGACCATACTTCTGGAACTCCCAGTCTCGGTTGTCTAGCGGGCACACTTGGCGGGTCTTGAGCCATCGTGAAATGCAGTGGAAGTGGAAGGCGTGCTGTCATGTGTTAGTATGAACCACAGAAGCCTTGTCGCGGAACGTACGTTGCAGATGCCCCAGGCGACTGTGCATTCCTCGCTGGTGGCAGAGGCTTGGTTGGCCTGGCATTCGATGCAGAGGTCCATGATGTGGTTACGGCAAATGGCGCAGTTGTCGACGACGATATCCCAAGCCCAGAGAGCGACTGCGTTCCACTAAGTAATGTTAGCTTTGACCATCCTGTGTTGTCGTCTGTCGTGTAATGCCTACCTTCTTGACCTCAAACCGTTTCTTGTCGCCCTCTCCAGCAGCACTGGCCTTGCCCGTCTTGGTCTTCGCCGGGGGCGCATCTGCCATGTCGACGTCCGCCATTGGTGTCTGGTGTATTGGTGTAGCGGGGGTTGCGGGGACTTGGTTGAAGTTGAAGCTCGCGAGGTGGAGCGAGAGCGGTCGTGGGCGGTGAGCAGGTTGTGGCGTTCGAAGAAGTACTTCTCACGGCTTCCAGAACAATGTCGAGTGGCGAAGTGCTGTTAAGGTGGTGCCAGTGTGTCTACAAGGTGAAGGCGCAGTGTGCAGGCGTCAGGCTCCAGCTGCGAGCTCCAAATTGCCAAGACCGGCCCCGTTGACCAACTCTGGGACGACGTAACGGATGAACGAGAATACCGATTATTTCGCTAAACGTCCAAAATCTTTCCAGACGAACAAACGTCGAAACCCCAACAGTTGTCACGATCCCGAGACCGGCGTCCAACAAACTTCCGCTTCCATCATACCCAAGGTGCCAACCACTCAGCCCTACGTCGCCGCAATCGTCAGTGCGCCTTGCCGAGATCAGCCTTGTTTGATCACAGCCACCTCCGCGCCGTTCACCGTCGATGCGACCGACTCTGCTCACGACACCCTCACTCTTCGCCCTAATTCACCCGACGGCGCGTGCCTATCTATACCCCGCGAATCTGGATATGACCACTTCAACATCTAACCCTTACCCAATCCTACCTTATCAGACACAGACAAAGACACAGACCGCGTCATCGCCCACCTTCCAACCCACTTGCATATCACGAACCAAGAGCGTCCGCCTGCGCCCCTCTAGATAACTTGCACTCACCCCATAGCAATACACTACAACTAGCGCCTCACATGTCGACGGCACAGACTACTGCCTCTCCACGCGCTCCTCGGGGCAAGCCGCAGAGCCCAGCTCAGGCACCGCACACCAACCAGGGCCGACAGTCGCAACGGAAACCGCGAGGCAACCGCGCACACAATGGCTACAACCAGAATCACCACAATGGAGCAGGAGCCTCCCCGAGCAAGATGCCCGCTGAACTTGCCCACGCGGAAGGCGCGGCCTACTCGGGTGAGGACGCGCAGCTACCCTCGGGACCGCGCAACATGAGAAAGCCCAACCAGTCTCACCCGTCCATCGACCGCGTCTTCTCTCCTCCAGAATCAGAGCCCGTTCCGATCAACCCGTCTGCTACTCCGGCCAAGGTCCAGGCTGCCTACGCTGGACCTACTTTTCATGCCTCTCCTGCGCCTTCTGCTCTGCCTATACCCAAGTTTCTTTCTCGTTCTGTGCCGGCCAAGACACGTGCTGGTCCTCCAACACCTCCGCCCGAAGATAGTTCTGATTCTGCTTCTCCAAGTCCTTCTGCTTCTCCTTCTCGTGCCCCGGTGGCCGTTCCCCCTCGTGATGAACAGTCCCCACTGGATCTGCTTTTCAAGGCCGATGCAGCGGAGAGAGCCAAAGGCAACCATGGACGCCCATTATCGTACGGAGCTCTCAACCCAGTGGATGCAGCCAGACCGCAGCACTTCAAGCATGATTCTTACCATTCCACGAACGGCGTTTTCCCCATAGAGCTCGATGGTGAAAGCAAACACGCGCACATGTCTCCTCCCCCTGTAGCATCACCAGCCTCGCACCGCTCCGTTACAGATCCCAACCAGGTCCCACAATTAAAGGACATGCAACAGCAGGGCAACGGCAATGACGTTATGCAAGACCTATTCAATCGGCTTTCAATGTCGCAGAAAAAACCTTCTGCAACACCGCCTCGTCCAGATGCTCAAGGACCGCAAGGCTTTTCAGGCCAAACACCGTCACCTTTCCATGGAGGCCAGCATCCTGCCCAGAATGCATCAGGGCCCACCACACCGCAGACACAGCCACCGAACCAAGACTCTGACTTTTTCTATGGCAACCGAAACCTCTCCCCATTATTCAAAGCAGCGAAGGGCAATTCAGCAAAGAAACGCAACTCTGGTCTTCGCACTGAGATCTCGGCTGAGTCTCCTATGGTTGGACAAGGCGATTTCCAGGGTTTTCCTTCTGTTCCTCCAGCTCAAATGATGGATCCCAACGCTTTCTCTCGAATCCAACCAGGAAACGGCAATGGAGGCCACCCCAATGCGCCTCGTTCATCAACACCTTTTGTGCAACACTATCAGCAGAGCCCTAACAACCGCAGGAGGACCCCGGGTCGACAGCCACACCAACCTCGCCCAGATTCCAATCAGACGAGAGGCAACATGCCTGGACCTGGCAAAACTGCCGCCAACGGCCCTCCAGCGTCTGCCGCGAAGCCTCTTACAAGCATGATGTCCTTTGTCCCTTCCTCGGTCGCAGCCAAACAACGCAAGACATCAGCACCTGCCGCTACCGCTTCACCAATGAAAACCTCTACCCCTTCCGATACGTTGTCCCTGGAGCAGGATCTTAAACGTCTGCTTAATCTCAATCCGGCTGGCGAGTCCAGCGTCAGGTAGCCTGTCGTCTTCACGAAATTTCTCATATTCGGACATATATTTCGTCCATTACCTTCGTTTGTTCATATGGGATTTCTATTTGTTTCATGTTCATGGCGCATGATTGTACTGTCATTTCATTTGGAGTTTACGGCGTTACGAGCGACTTATTGTCGCCTGTTTTCATGGTTGTAGTGAGCATTGACGGGTACGTCGTCTCAGGTTCTTTTGTCCAGCGCAAGCGTTTCTTTCGTCACTGTTCATGAATGGGTGCATGGACATGGGATTCCAAGACTTGGACACTAGGCGTTCTCTGGCATCACGTTTCATGTTACGGTGCCTAGGCACTTTTTGAGGTTGTCTCGACGGGCTGTGAGAAGTCAGCTTCCTCCGACAATGTTCTGCTGTCCACAATCTGGATCCAGGCACGACTCAACTCGACTACTATTACTACACAACCACAAACCATAAGTAAAAATCAAGAAAAAAATATAAGGGCATGATGCTCGGCTCTGGTGCTTCTCTTGGGAGGCACAGGGTTTTCATGTCCAAACATGGTTTTTGTTCTGCACATTTTCATGACGGTGAGATGTTGATACATGACATGTCCTTCTCTTTAGTTCATAGTATCTCGTTTTCATCGTGCAAGATCCGTAGCCAGAACAACAGATGACATGGGCAAGAGTAGGAGACAATAAAGCCGATCAGTCGATGGGCGAGGTCAACGTTGTCGGTCCGAAGCCTGTCAGTTGCATCTCAATCTTCTCTAAATTCTCGTGTTCTTATATCCTCTTCAGCTGGCTTACCGTGGTAGGAGCTTGACTGGGCTCTCACTTTCACTATTCGACATCACTAGTACCACAGACCAGTCCTAGCTTGGAGCTGAGCGCGATGTGCCTCACCGTGAAACCTTCCAAACGGTATATGCTCACTCTACTATCGTCATCGCTCCCTTTTCCATCCACAATTCCTCGCACCACCACCCACTCGTTTCGGTGCTTAACACGCGCAACTACGCGATATTTGTACTTCTTAGCTAATCCGACGTACTGATTCAACCCCCACTTGTTATAACTGTCATCGCAACCGATCAGGATGAAGAGTCTTCGGAGCAAAGGTGAGCTGTCGTGACACTTTCTGCACGGTATCTGACCGATTGCGACTCCCGCTCTCGCATACCGACTGCAAACGATCAGTGCTAATGGACATACAGCCTCGCACTTCTTTCGAGATAGCCCAAGTCGTGATGAGAAGACCGCCATTACCGATAGCTCAGATGTCAACTTTGACGCTGGGATCCAAGATGCTGGTATGAAGAACAAGCGTGGGTATTCGTTTGCATGTAGGCGCAGGCATGTAACTGACTCAAACTCGTAGCATCGCGGTTCTTCCGGCGCAGAAACGACAAGCCGGATACGCCACTGCCCATTCTGTCTTCCAAATCTTCGTCATCGACACTGTTTGCTCTGGTCTCCGACCGTGTAACCCCGACAGAACTGGGCGATAGCTTTGAGAACTTGCCCGAATATGATGATGACGACGAGGAAAACACAAATGCACCTCTACCAGTTTCGCGCAACTCTTCGGCTATGTCAGAGCACGAACATACCAATGGTGGTTTTAACTTGCATCGACCTAAGTCTCGCCCCAGCTTCGCATTGCTGAAGGGCAAAGGCATGTTACTCACTATTTGTACACATGTCGGCTCAATATTGACTTAGATTCTAGGCTCGCGCCTGTTCGGAGGCAGTAAGGACAGCGGCTCTACGCAGTCAACACCGCCCCCGCCGGTCCCACAGATTCCGAAAGGCGTGTCACTTTCCAAGTCACGTCGTCCTATTCTTACACCTTCAGCCGCAGCTCGTGGGTCACGCATATCTCATCCCAAGGCTCAAGGCCGCAGCATCTCCATCTCGCGCCCTCGACTTATGGCACAGCTCTGCAGTCCTCCTATCCTAGAGAACCCTATCACGGTACCTTTCGAGAAGCGCCCCGGTCCGCCACCTGTTCGTCCTCCTCGGCCAGATAGTCTCGATGAAGAGACGCTAGCTTTTATGCGCGAAAGCGGTACTCGTATATTTCTTCTGTCCAGCAACCGTGGTAGCGCAAGCACGGCGACGACTTCCACACCTCGTAGTCAATCCAGTTCCATCGAGGCGCGTCTTGGATTCCCTTCTGGCTGCGGTACTACTCCACGCAGCTGCTCTATTGAATCACCCCTTGCAGCGCGCTTCATGCTAGATCCTAATCAGCGTCTGACCGTTCGCGACAGCAGTGATGGTATGGGATACAGTCGCTTCAGCGAGTATGTTAGGTATCAACACGACAGTGTACGTGCGGCGGATGGTGTTGATGCAGAGGACCGGGAGATCGGACCTATTAAGAGGTATGATGCTAGCAAGGAAGGTGACTGGATGCTTGAGAAGCGGGTTAGCCAAGGACGCGATGGGAAGGGAGGCGGCATGTTGTTTCGCGACAGGTGGGGTGGCTTCCACTTTGTCGCTGATATCTGAGGTCGATTTGGCTGAGTTGTTAGTGGCTGCCAGGGTGCACTAAAGGAAAGTGGTGAGGGTGTGAACATGTCGTTGTTTTATGTGAGAAACACACAACACAGCTCC